TTTTTCTTAGTTAATTATTGATTATTTATGTTTTTATCATATATCTTGTTAGTTTAAGTTTGGATTGATTGAGATTCCAAATCTTTGGAGGCTTCTCTTCAAGCTTGTTGTAATTTTGGGATTATAGGAAAAGATGTGAGGAWTTTAGTGAAATTAGTACCTAATTTCTAGTAAAATCTCCTCAAAACCAATTTTAATCTTGACTAATAGAAATCACCATGAAAAGCTCGTGGCTGTCTCGTAAATATAGTGACGTAATTTCTCCACCTATGAGGCATTCAACCAAAAGATTCTAAATTCATTTAGATTGGGAGGGGGAATGTGTTAGGCACCTCTTTTTCCAAGATACAAAATGTAGTCCATCCCCATGTTTGTCAAGGCTTACAACTTCACAAATTTTAGTCTAAAAGGATAAACTCTAAAATCTTATGAGGAGATTTTGTATCTTGGAAAACATCTTGAGATAGCCACAAGCTTCATGGAGCTCACAATATTGAGCATCCAATGAACAAAATGGAATAAAATGTCCTTGACCACTACCACTTCATGCAACCACACATAGAGAAACTCACCTTCATCTTGAAATCGAATTAGAGCATGTTTTSAGTCAAGCAACATAAGAATCACTACAACTTTGAGGTCCCTATTAGAAACTCCCTAATCTCCACGTGGATGACCATAAACACATATTTTTTACTAGGCAAAATGTATAGGATCTAAAGTTGTTTCAGTTTATTCGTTAGTGAATAAAATTGCAGGCTCCCCCTGATTTTAGAGTGAGAGTTTGAATGGGAATATCAACCGGCTTAGGATCCAGAACCTAATTAAAAGGGGTTAAAGAAGAAATAATCGATGCAAAAGATGGTTTGCAAGGGTTCCCGATGGCATCTCTCCCATGGCACAATCAAGGGATCTATTCATGCCCTTCCAATAGAATACTTGTCTCAAGCAWTGCAACGTTTTTTGTACCCCCTCATGTGTAGTAGAATGGAACCAAGGTTCAAAATATCGATACACCCAATATATCGGTAGAGGCGTATCGAGATGTATCGATAGTTTTTTTAGTTTTTTCTAAATCCGACTCAAAGGGGCTGGTTTAAGGTACATCCACCCCCTGAATCGATCAAAACCCTGATACACCCTCTGTAGGGGTGTCTTGGGAAGCTCCCGATACGATAYGTATCGGCTGATACGTATTGATACTTTGAACCTTGAATGGAACTAATCAATGATGACTTGAATAAGTGGAGATTTTGAAGGTAAGCAAATATGTTGTTTGAAGTAGATGACTTTAATGAATAAAGTTAATCTTTGCATCTCTGTGTTAGACTATACTTCTTCCTCAATGGGCTTCAATCACAGGGGAATGGGTTGACACCGAGGTTCAAAATATCGATACGCCTGATACGCCTGTAGGGGTGTATCGAGCGAATCGATACACATTTTGGTTGCTTTTTTTTTTCTGCAATCGGTTCAGGGGCGGATTAGGTCTCCTCTACCCCCCTGAACCAGTCAAACCTCTGATACACCCATTGTAACGGTGCATCGGAGGGATCCCAGAATAACGTGGGCCAATACGTGTCTATACTTTGAACCTTGGTTGAGACAAAGTAGTTAGCTTGGAAGGTTCATGCATTCTTGATAGAACGTTAGYAGCTGAGTTCTCGGCTCCTTTCTTGTACTCAATCTTCAAGTCATAGCCCAACAATTTTAGTAGCCACTTCGGGGTCCTTGTAACTGATCCAATAATTCATCATTAAGGGGTATTGGAAACTAGTCTTTAATTATAATTTTATTTAAAGCTCCATAAATCATAATCGACACAAAAGTCTCCAAGACCCATCATGCTTCTTCACTAAAATGATTGGGGATGAGAATGGGCTCTTACTGGGCTTCATTATCCAACATCTCCTTAATCAGCTTTTCTATTTCAAACTTTTGATATTGAGGGTATCTATAGGGTCTAGTTGAAATGGGACCCACCCCAGTATTAAATTGATTTGG